ACTAAATCTCTAATGAACGTCCAAGAGCACCAACTCTTCTGCTCTCCGTGATATGCACGCAAACATTCTTTCTTTTATTTCCAATATACAACTAAGTGAGCCTGCTAGAATTAGTACAGAGATAATTTTCTTGTTCCATTTCATTTATATAGAATTGGCTTTTTTTATTGGTGAGATTGGTACCAAAATTGGTTGTTTCTGCGTTTTACGTTGCACTCTACGTCACCTATTATGTCGATACACTACGTTTACCTGATGCTGAGCTTGTAACTAGTATGAAACCAATATGCTTATTCTGCTAAGAAAAAATGCTTATATAATACTTATTAAAAAGTACTTGAAATTAGGGGATGATTTTGTGGTATTTCCGAATCAAATAGAGCACGTTAAAAAAATAAGGATAAAGAAATTAATTTCATACTCTTGAATTCTGCTGAGGGAAAGAAAAATCCCCCATTAGAGTAGATCCAAAAGTAAGTGGACTAGCAAAAATGGCATTCTACTATACTCTTCCAGCATGTAATTTATCAATATTAAATCAATAATAAATGCCTTTTAGGTCTTCAAAAATGTAAACAAGAGCACTGACTGGGTCATTTGGTTTAGTTTTTAGCCAGCTAATTAATGATGTTAGTAGAATGAAGATTTTTTGATTGCGAAAGTTTTCAAAGTCGGCATCAAGTGAAGCAGCTAGCCACATCGCTTCAGACAACTGTTTGGGGTCATTCGTGACATCATAAATAATGATGTCATGCTCCATAATGTCTTCATAAAAGTGTCTCCTGTTCTCATACTAACAAAATAATAAACTGAAAGAAGTTACCTTTAGGATTCTAGAGACAAAAGAAGGCCTTGAAGATTTATCTGGATATTTCAAGGTTCCATTTATTTTAAAACAATTCGCCTTTACTTTAACAGGATATTCGGCTTCTTTGGGATCCGCCTCCTGCTCTTCATCTTCGCCCTCGTTTATAGCAGCACCAGGAACAAGGCTTGCTAAAGTCTAAAATGGTAACAAAAATCAGGAAAATTTTTCAAGTAAATTTTATTCCGCAATTTTTAGCAGAAAGGGCACTTAAATTAGGCTCAATAGGTATAAATTAAAGTTAGTATAATCAAAGGTATGAAGACCAAGATGGTGTGCCTTTTGTATGGTTGAAGTATTATATCTTATCAGTCTATCAGAAGCAATTACTAGTTTATTATTATGAAGAAGAAAAAGCAATGAATTATTTAAGCTAACATATCAGATGTAAGTTAAAAACTACCATGTCTGGTTGGCTACTTATTTTATATAATGCTCCCCCCATCAAAAAAGCAGTCAACGACAACGAATATCATATAGGTGTCATGTAATATCACCAATACAAGATTCCATATTTTTTCATACCACGTAGCGTGAATAAAATCTATTGCGCTTATATTTCATCCATTTGGTACAAGAGATGTGTTAATGTCTGTAAACAACAAGTTGGCACCGATTTGTAGGGTTATTTTGATCATTTTCATCCATGTTAATGGTTAAAAATGAATCTTTTGAATTTTTAGCTTTGGAACTACACTATTTGTTATTTATCTAACAGGAAATACCAAGGTTTTTGCATTACTGAGAATTAAGCTAAGAATAAAGAATTCATTATTTGCACTACGAAATCGATTTATTTCAAGGAGCTAGAGGTATAAGCACATTTATAAAAAAATAATTATGTTTGTATATTGTAAAAAAATCATCACACCGTGCATCTTTTGCCAGTTTAATGGAGGTAGCTCTGTCCCTGGTAAATAACGAAGGTAAGCAATCTTAATCTGAATGAGCTACTAATAGTATTTATGCAGTTTACACTTAAAGTAAACGATTAAAAATGTTTGAAGCATATAAATAGAATGACTAAAAGGCAACTAACATAATAACAAACAAACTTAAAATTATGTTATAGAAAATAAAGGGAAATGAATAAATCTAAATAAGAAAAATCATCTTAAGTCAAAAATATGTAGTTTTCTTTTATTAAATATTATTTACATACACAAGCATCTTATGAAAATGATTATAAATTAAAATTGTAAATTAAATTTAGTTTAAAAAATATGACATTTAAATTAAGGTGGCAACATATATTAATTACAGCCTTAGAAATATGATTTTTCAAAAAAATATTTTACGAATTAGTCATGTTATATTAAGCATGAATTCTTAATTTTAGAAATAGCTATTTTAATGGAACATAAAAAACAATATGGGTAACATAAATTGTTAAAGATAGAACGCACTTTAGCTACGCTTTTACATATAAATGTATCCACATTGTTGATGAAAACATATGTTCGCTTTACTTCTGTTATTGAATCTTCCGACATTGAATATGCATACGTGCTATTGGCAATAGAAACTACTTGTAACTGGATAGTTTAAACAAATTTTAAACAGTCGTCGAATACAAAAAATATTATTATGTTATTTTTATTCAAGTGTATATAACTTGATATATTTAAAATTAATAGATTTATTCACTATTAAGTATCTAGAAGCGGCTATGTTAAATTTTATTAAAGCACTTTTAAACTATTACTCAATTCAGGCTGAAGTACATTATAATTTAATTTAATTTTTAGCTCAGGATCTGCTTACCCATTCCCATACTTAATGTTTATTTTTAATGAAAACTTGAACGACGCTAGAAAGATGATATAAAATAATAATTTCCCTATTTTATTCCTATTTTAAAAAGGGATTATTTCATCTCTAATACTTTTTAAATTCTTGCTTTTTTATTACTTTAATTTTGCCCATTATTTATCTCATTTATACTCATTAGCGTTAATATAACGTAGTAATATCATTAAATATTTTATGATCTTACGTAATTAAAAGAAATCATCCCTCTTGTCAGGGCGCCCTATCTGAACTCACATTTTTAGAATTCCTCTGCTGTAGTAGTTCTGTTCACTCCAAAGATTTGACCTTAGAATTGGTACATTCTTATATGTTTCGCCTGTATCGTGTTCGTTGTCGTCAGTGCGTTATGCCATTCTCATTACCATTCTATAACTATTTGAAGAGGCAAATTAGTCAATCCCCTGTCTGATAGCTGTTGAACGTTTCTGTTCATATTCCACTTTTATAAAAGTGTGCCCTTTTGGCGAGCTTCGTATAGTGCCATCCTACCTACTGTTTATCTGCTTACCGATCTCGATTTGCCCATCCTACTGACTTTTCTTGAGTGATGTTTGCACACATATATCATACATAAAAACTCACTAATAATTCTGTTTCCTCCAGTATCTTGTTTCTGATCCACTGCATTTGATAAACGGTCGTTTACATTCTTGACTTTCAGACATATAACCTTTACCCATTAGTGTGTTGTCACAAAATTGTTATTGACTATATACCTCAGTGGTTAGAACAAAGAAAGAGGTTTCAACTGGTTGGTCTTCGTAATTACAAAAATATTTTTGAAATTTTCTTTAGACTGGTAAACAAAGTTGGTAAATGCATAGGTTAATCTGAGAATAGGAAAAATTAACGAAAACGAGGACGAATAAAGAGCGCGATCTGAAATTATTCCACGTTAAATACATCGATTGCAAATTATTTTATTTAGAAGATTTTTTCCACTTAATTAAGTTTAATTATTGCATAAATAATTATAAAATTTATAAGAAATCTCATCTCTTCTCATTTCATCTCAATTAATCTCAACTCATCGCATCTTATATCATCTCATCTCATTATATCTCATATCGTCTCATCACATCTTATCTAATCTCATCTGATCTCATATCATCGAAGCTCCTCATATCTCATCTAATTTCATCACAATATTTCTCATCTCTTCTCAACTCATCACATATCAGTTTAAGTCATCTCAGTGCATACGATTTGATCTGTGGTCAGATCATCTGAGGACATTCAAAATCATCTCATCTTATATCATCTAATATTATTGCATCATAACTCATCTAGTCTCATCTCATTTCATCTCAGCTCAGGTCACCTCATCTCATTACATCTCATCTCATATTATCGCTTCACAACTCATCTCATCTCAACTGATATCATCTCATCTCATCTTTTCTTAATTCATCTCATCTCATCCTATCTTATCTCATCCCTTGTGATCTCATCTTATCTCATCTTATTTCATCTCATCTCATCACATCTCAGATTATCTCAGATTATCTCATCAAAACTCATCCCATTTCATCTCATTTCATCTCCTCTCATATCGTTTCATCTCGTCTCATCTTATCTTATCTCAACTCATCTGTTTTCACATCATCTCATCTCATCTAAATTCATCTAATCTAATCTAATCTTATCTCATCTTATCTTATCTCATTTTATCTTATCTTATCTCATCTCATCTCATCTTAACTCATATCATTTCTTCACATTTAATCTCATCCCATATCTTCTCAACTCATCTCATTCGATCACATCTCAGTTCAACTCATCTCATCTTATCTTATCTCATCCCTTCTGATCTCATCTCATCTCATCTCATCTCATCTCATCATATCTGATCTCATCTCATCTCATCTCATCTCATCTC